ACCAGAACGCTTCCTCATGGCGAGGAGAACATCGCCGGACGTTACCCACACAGGATCCCTCTTCTTAGGTTGATCAGCAGAATACCATGTCTTATACTTACCATCAAAGACGACACAATAAAGCCTCTCATCACCAAACTGATGCATCAGATACCAGGCGCCATCGCCACCAGCGGGACCAAAGCAAGGAACAGCCGTCTGACCCCATGGGAGGTAGATGTTAGCCCGGGCCTTGGCCGTCAAAGTGACGTGATGATAATCCTCGTCCCGGCCGTGCTCACCATCCACCGGCTTGGGTGTGGTGGTTGCTTCCTCACTACTGAATGATTTCCAGTCATCATGTCAGGTTCGACAGGAAGAGGACGGAAGTAATAGGCGCTGATGTACGCATTGCCGACACCATTGTACATCTTCACGGTCGGGTAGTAACCAAACCAATGCCCAAAGGTGCCTCCGTGGACACCAACGGTGAGATAACGGAAGTCCTCATCGTTGACGTTGTACTCTTTCGTCTTGGCGTAAACCGTCACGTCGGTGGCGACGCTGTCATATTCGTCCAATTTGAAGTCACCCGAGTAAACCCCAAACTTGGTAGTCTTCCGGGTATCAAAGAAGTCACCCGGCATAATATCAGTAATATCGCCAACGGCACTCGGCATGAAGTCCGCGGCCTCGCTATGGACACCACCCATACCGTGGTGGAATAGGTAATGAAGCATTTGAAAGAAATCCTCATGATCGCCGTTGTCAGTCGGTGGCTGTGGAGGCTTCGTCGGCAAGATGCTCTCTTCAGACGGCTTGTGGTCATCGGCAGCTGCCTGCCAAAGGACGATGGAAAAGAGAGCAAAGCGGATCATAGGAGGAAAGGCTGAGACTACCGGCTACACTGCTTCGCTATTATTGCGTGATGCTATAGTTAGGTGAACAAGGAAGTAGGCCTATCATGGGAGCAACTTTGCATAGATCCAGCTGTCACAAGCCATAACAACGTATAAGCAAATTGCGGGATGCCTATCCAGGTCAATCACTCGCCCCGGTCGTTTCGGATACTCTCGTGTCAGTTTTCAGCGGAATCTTAGGGACGGCTTCGCAGCGTGAGGAATTGTAATACATCGCTGAATCTCATACTCGATTTAT